CGTTCAAAGTTATTCCAGAGTCTAGTCTTTAAATGTAATAAAATACAGCAACTCCTGACAAAATCAATTAAAATAAAACCACCCAGGCTGCCTCCCCTATTGCTTTGTAGCTTGACTGACTTGGAGAGCCCACCTGGGCCTTTTAGGAAGCAATTAGGGAAGTGCTGGGATGGATCCCGTGCAAACTGAGCATCCCTCAAGTGCTGAGCATCCCTGACACTTCTGAGCATCCTTGATACTTCTGAGCATCCCTGAAACTTCTGAGCATCCCTGACACTTCTGAGCATCCCTGAAACACTTCTGAGCATCCCTCCCGAGTCCCCACATCCTTCCACATCCCCCAGCACCCCTCTGAAATGCCCTCCACACCACAGGTCAGAGCGAGGAGAGCCTCAGTTCCTTCCCTCCCCATAGCAGATCCCTCCCCAACTTGGGGATCAAAGCCAGAGAAGGATTAATTAGAGCCCAATTAGGTTGCCCAGCTCACAAGGAAGGTCCCTGCAGCACTTGGCCAGCAGGGATTTGAGGGATCCCAGGCTTTGGCTCAGTGGAAGAGCCCAGCTGGGGCACAGGGACCCCTCAGTGTCCCCACACCATCACCACACCCCAGTTAAATCCCTTGCCAAGGGCCAGCAGCTCTTGCTGTCTCACTGCTGGGTTATTTATAGCAGGAATGATTTGGGGATTTCAGGCAGCTGGGAGCTTCGGGGAATACTCTGAGCACACACAATCCCCAGGAAAAGGCACCAGGATGCTCACAGGAACACACAGCCCATAGACAAGGCAGGACCAATGCACACCCCAAAGCCCTGCAGCACCCACAGCTCCTCTGTTTGTTTCTTTCCTCAGCCATCCTGCAAAAAACCCTAAAAAAAACCAAATTTCAGCCCAGTGGCAGGACTCTAGCATATGGCAACCCACCCCTGCTCCCAGAAAACAACACTCAACAAAAAGATTTTTAACCCATTTCTTAATAAATATGTATTTTTGCCTTGAAGATGTGGGTGGAACAAAGCCAGGGTGTATTTTCCAGTGAAATGTTTTGATTCCCCCCTCGTTGGTTTTTTTTTCCCCCTCAACAGGAGCAAAACGCCAATAATAATATTTGCAATGAATAACTCAAATTCTGTGGCTTTCTCCCCCGCTCTCTTTTAAATAAATAAAATACCCTAAATTTGAGAAACACAAACGCTCCCTCCAACACAGCAGGACGACATGGAATAAACTCAGGGACGCTCTGAGGATTTATTTCACTGTCATAGCCCAGATTCTGGAAAAGGCAAAAATTTCTTCCCAGCTTGTTTTGCATATGTCAACGAGGAGAGGTCGAGCCTGTCACAGGGACATTTCTCTCTGTGCACCTCTATGAAAAATCCTGAGAGAGAGAGAAATGTCCCTGTGAGACGAGGCTCCAGTCTGAGCACAACCAGACTTCATCTTCTGCTCCTACCAAGGAGCCCCACGGAGCCAACCAGATGTGGGGCAGAGGATTCCTCCTTCCTCCCTGGGATGCTCAGACACTTCCCACATCTCTCACTTCTCCTCCCTGAAGGTTGTCACATCAGCTGTCCATTCCTGAGGGCACCAAGAGCTGCACTGAGCATCGTGGTGAGGTCTCAACCCAAAGAGAGGTTCCCACCCTGCAGCACCCAGGCTCATCCCGGCCACAGGGATGAAGGTGCTTGATGGATGCTCTTGGTTGTTTTGCTGTTTTCCTCGGAAGTGTTGCAGCTCCAGCCCCGAGCACGGCACGGACAGTCCTCACCCCACATCCTGAGCAGCTGCAGCCGGCCCTGGCACGGCTGCAGGGTGGGAAGAGGGACACACAGAGGTTACAACCCAGTTACAACCCGCTGGAGTGACCTCGAGGGAAGCGCCAGCCTCCGACACCCGTTAACTGTTTCTTCCCCCACAAGGCTGAGCCTTGAGGGAGAGCTCCCTGAACCCACCAGCCTTCTTTTCCTCCCCAGAGATACCCAGGGAATGGGCAAAGTGCAAATAAAGCACTAAGAGAACAAGCAGCCACCTGAAGAAACGAGTCCTTGGTTTGCACATCAGTGCCCCGTGAAAGCCTGACCTCGTGCACCCCACCAGAGGTGATCCCCACAGCCCCAAAAGCACTTACACCACAGATTTTTCCTACATTTTCCTCCTCCTGGAAACCTGTCACAACAGAGAGGAACAAAAGCTGGACAGCCCTGAGCAAGCTAAGCCTAATAAAGGCAGGACTGTAACTCCAGATGGCTCTAAGGCAGCATCTGCTGGACCCCGAGGTGTTTTAATCCCCACCAAGGCTGTGGAGGTACCTATGCCCACAGCCCCCATGCCAGGCTGCAGGTTGTCCTGGCACTGGGATGGCAGAGGGGGACAGCAGCCAGCCTGGGAGATGCCCAGGGACGTGCTGTCCTCATGGGGAGCCTCTGGCTGGCATCTGCCAGCAGCTCTCCAGAGAAGCAGGAAAATGAGATACTACTATTAAAAGTGCCCAGTGCTGGCCACACTTCCAGCCATGACATCAGCAGCGTTATCTATGTCTAACCACGGGCAGGACTTGGCCAGGAACCACCAGGTTGGCCTTGTTGGGCCAAACTGAGCTTAGATTTTGATGGGGACACAGTAATGGGGTAGAATTTTGGCCGTGTTGCTGCTGTTCCCCAGCTCAGGCCTGTACTGGTGTGCAGGGAAACAAATCCCACAAGCTGGGCTGGTTTTCTCTCCTGGGTATTTCCAGCACCAGCTCCCAAAAATGACATGAGATTGGGTTGGTGAAACACCCTGGGACCCTGCAAAGTTGGGACCTGGTGGGGTTTGGACCATCCTGCCTCTAAAGAGGCCCCATGGCTCATCCAGCTCTGGTTTCACTGGGAAAGTCTCAGCTCACATTCCCCTCAATCCCACAAACTGCTCCCGAGCTTTCAGACACAACCTGCCTGCACTGCCCAGAGCAGGACCAAGATCTCCCTCTCCAAAATCTGCAGCAACCACTGCCCTTGCAGCCAAAGGGATTTTTCCCAATAATCAACGACCAAAGACCAGCACATAAAGTTTGGGAGTCTCTCCTCCAGCAGCACAATCCCAGACCACACACCCCAAACAGCTCCCACAGACAGATGGATTTTCTCCTCGGACAAGGATGAGACGTTTTAGCCTCCCCCAGCAGGGCTGTCCTGGGGGGCTGCCCTGTTTTCCCTGGGGATGCTCCTGGTGTGCTGCACAGTGTGTGGCGCAGCCCCACCACGCACACATTTCTAAAACGAGCAGATAAATCAGTTGTTTTCCACTTGCAGCAGCGTGAAAACCCTTCCCCGAGCCAGCAGTCACAGACTCTCCCCCTCCTACCCCCTCAAACCAACCTGACTAATAACACAATGTATTTTTTAGCCTTTACAGCACAACGGTAGAGTTCAGGACTGACAGAAAACACAGCTAAGGTACACAGAGGCCTGAGCCCGCCCGGATCAACCCAGATTTGGATTGTCTTCCACAACAACATCCAAGGAAATGTGAATCCCCCAAACAGCCAGCCCGAAGGTTAAACCACTCCAGTGAATAAGAGAGGCTCCTTCTGCTGGGATGAGCCCCAACAACCGCACTGGACACAACCAAGAGGAGCTGGTTGGATTTGGAACCAGGGACACACTGCAGGTAAGATGCTTTTGGCCCCAGCAGCATCTCCCAGCCCAGACAACAAGGGGCACTCTAAAACTGGGATTTTTGGGGGCACAGAGATGCCACCTACAGCTCTGCCAGCCCACAGGTCTCCCCAGACCACCACAGCCCTGGAAAAAGCCTCTCAGCAGGCTGGGCTTGCAGGAAACCTTGTGATGCTTGTATTTATTCTGCTCTTTTTAAGGAACGACTGAAATTGCAATCTGTCAACAACACAAGAAAAATAAAAGAAAAAATACAAAAACCACACTGAATTAAAAAAAAAAAAAACAAAAAAAAAACAAGAGGAAGAAAGAATCAAAACACACCAGCGGCAGGCTGGAGAGGCTGAGCAGAGATTTAAACCCGGAGAAGGCAGGAGGGACGGGCTCGCTCGGCCGGAGGCTGGGAGCCAGCGGGCTGAGCGGGGACAGGGATGGCAGCACTCGCCCCTCTTCCCCTTCTCCCGGACTTGGCGCCAGGCGACTTCGCTCAAACTTTTCTTCCCCCCACCCCGAGCACTGAGCTCTGCAATATCACTTCTCCTGGAAGCGAGACGCAGGAGGCATTCGCCCTTACAAGCCAGGACTTGACTCAGTCACCGAAACGATGGCAAACTCCGGCTGGAAATAGGTTTTAAAACGCAGCTAAAAGGAGGAGAGGGAGGGGAGGGGAAAAAAAAAAAAAATAAGAACAAAAAGGCAGGAGGGTCCCAACGGCGGCGGGTCAGGGAGCCGGAGATGCGAGCGGAGGGGCCGGGCGCTGCCTCCCCCTGCCCGGCTGCGCGCCCCGCATGCCGCGGGGAGAGAAAAAAATAAAAAACCGGAGAAAAGTCAAAAATTAGAGAAAAAAAATAAACCGAGAGGAAAGGCAAGAGGGGGAAGAACAGGCTGAGCGCTGCCGAGCCCGGAGCAGAGCCGGCCCCGGGCGGGGAGGGGGCTCTGCCGGCTGCCGCTGCCCCGTTCAAAGCGCCGCTGCCCGACCGGCCCGGCCCGGCCCGGCCCGGCTTCCCGGCCGGGGCCCGCCATCCCCGGGGCTGCGCTACGGCAAAACAACAAAAAAAAACCAACAGCAAAAAAAAAAAACCCAACAGCAAACCAAAACAAAAATACCAACTCCAAGGCAGGGGCCGGGGGCAGGGGCCGGGCCGGCCCGCGCTCGCCGCGGCGCTCCCCGGGGAAGGGGCGAGCGCATCCCCCGCCCGCCGGCCCCCGGTGCGCGCTGCGGGAAGGGGCAGCGGAGCCGCGGGTGGGTGCGGGGGGAAAGCGGCAGGACAGGCGGTGATTTTATCGTCCCGAAGCACCCGCCACCCCCCGCGGTAGGAAGGGAGAATCTCTCGGAACAGAACTCACCCAGCGGCAGGAAGTGTTTGGTGTCCATGGCTGGTGCTTAACTCATGCCAAGGGGCTCGGCGAGCGCGGCGGCGAAAACACACAGGCAGGGCGGGCGGAGGGGAGGGAAATCAGCGCGGGGGGAGAGGGGAGGAGGGGAGAGAGGAAAAAAAAAAAAAAAACACCCACGGGGAGGAGGAGGAGGAGGAGGAGGAGAGAGGAAGGGAGGAGGAGGAGGAGGAGGCAGCGGGAAAGCTGCAGCTCCGCAGCCGAGGCCGCGGAGTTGGGGCAAACTCCGAGAACGCAACTCCGCCGCTCGGCTCCGCCGGGCGCGCCCGGCTCCGCGCCGGGGCCCGCGCAGGGGGAGCGGCAGCGCCGCGCCCGCCCCGAGCCGAGCCGAGCCGAGCCGAGCCGAGCCGAGCCGAGCCGAGCCGAGCCCGGCCGAGCCGAGCAGCGCCGCCCCGCGCCCGCCCCGCCGGCCCGCCGCGCTGCTGGCTTGATGGATTTTTTTTGTGGTTTTTTTTGGTTTTTTTTTCTTAAAGTGATGGGGGAAATGGGGGGAAATAGAGGAGGGAAAGAAAAAGAAGAGGGAGGAGGGAAAAAAATAAGAGGGGGGAAAAGAGGTGGCGAGAAGGGGTAATTAGAGATGGGGAAATGGGGGGAGATGAAAATGGGGAGAGGGGGAAGGAGAGAGGGAAAAGAGAAGGAAAGGTAAAAGGAAAAGAGAGGGAAAGAGAAGGAAAAGGAGAGAAGAGGGGGGGAAAGGAAAGGGAAGAGGTGAGGAAAGAAGGGGGAAAGAGAAAAAAACCAAAAATATGTGTGTAGCGCTGCAGTGGCAGCCTCGGGAGGGGGAGCAGAGGGGGTTCCTGGAGTGATGCTGAGCAATGCCAGCTGTGCCCAGCCCCGGAGCATCCACCGAGCCCCGAGCCCACTGCCCATCCCCGGGCTGTGTCACAGGGCAGGCAGTGCTCAGAGCACGATTTATTCCATTTCCCATCCGTGAGGCACAACAAATAACTCATGTGTGTGTATATGTGTGTGTGTGGCTCCTCTGCAAACTCTCACCTCCTGGGCACCACCAGTGCCACCCCAGCAGCACCGCTGGGTGATCCCAGAGCCCCGGCCCCCCTTGCCAGGCAGGCCTCCAGGTTTAATAAATGATACTCAGCCCTGTAAGAATGTGTATTAGTGGCTTGATGGACCAGAGCGACTCCACTATGCATGAAGCATATTAAACATCCTATCGACCCTCGCTTTCCACGGCCGTAACATGCATAACAAACAGGCTGGGGCCACGCTGCAGCTGCTCACACACGCTGGGGAGCAAGGCTGGGCACTCAGCGAGGCTGGAGGGACACCAGGGAGGCTGGGGTGACACCAGGGACAGCTGCTGGAGGGGTTCTGCTGGCACAGGATGCTCCCAGCTCTCCTGCAGTGGGGTAGCTGGGACAATCGGGGATGTCCCAGAGGTTCTGCCATCACCTCCTCGTGTGGCAGATCCGTGGAACGCTGCTCCCCAGCCTTATCTGCCCTGATTTATTCTTTAATTGGCAAAGTGTCTCGTGCCAGAAATATAAGCAAGTGAGCAGCTCCTCCTGGAAAAGTGAGGCCTCTTATCTGCCACCCGCCATATCCCTGCGTGCCCTTATCGCTCCATCTCCTGCCTGTCCCTGTGGGATCTCAAGCCACGCAGGAGAGGCTCTGGAAAGGCCCCCAACACCTGGATTTCTCCTACAACTCTTCTGTTGTAGGAGAACACAAAACCCTGCCCTTCCTGCAGGGCAGAGCCACGTGGGGATGGTTGGATGAGGGGTACACAGCTGGCAACACCCCAGGATCCCAATCTGGGCCCTCTTCACCAGTCCATCTGCTTTAGAATGAAAATTCCAAATCCACTGCAATCCATCTGAAGAACAAAAACACCAAAGAGGAGCCGTCTTGTGTCAGGCAAGTGGCTGCAAACTGACACTCAGGTGGAGCTGCAGAAGTTAAAACTAAATAAAGCGTCTTGGATCCTTTTAATCCTCTGCTCCTGTAATTCCAGCATGTCCAAACAGATTTTGGTGTGTGTTTATAACTGGTAACTTCATTTGCTCCCAGGCTGGGACCTTAAATGCCAAGTTTCATCTCCAAGTCAGTTTTTTAAGAGGTGAGTTACATCCACTCCTGGGAAAAAAAGAGGAAAAAAGGAAATAAAAGAAAGTTGGGGTCAAAGTCTCTAAGAGTACAAAAATCGTGGATTTCGTGGATATCTGTGTACAGACTGACAGCTCAAAGGTAGAAATCAGTTTCCTAATAGACAAACGAAAGCTCATCTCTCTGATAAGGGCAAGCACAGCTCGGGGCAGAGCTGGGCTCTCACCTGCCTGTCCCCACCCCGCTGGGTGCCCAAGGCCTTTGGGGCTTTGAGTGTGTCCACCACCAACACAGGGGTGGGGATCTCACCCCAAAGCCCCATCCCAAAGCAGACTCAGCTCCCTGGCTGCAGCAGATCCCAGGGTTACGAGAGCCAGGGCTGCAAATCCACCTTTGCAGACTCCCAACACACGAAATTACCATAACCAGGACATTTCATGCTCCTCTCCCATCAAGCTGCTTAGAGCAAATTAAATTTCTCCCTAACCAGGCTGTAACAGTTCATGTTAGATGTGGATCTAAATGTTAATTGCAGTGACAATAACAGGTCTGATCCTGCAATCCTTATTTGAGTAAAACCTCCCACAGAAGCCAAAGGAATTTTGCCCCAGAGAAGGCAGCTGGATGCAGTCCCACATTTCCAGTCTCTTGAAGATGCCAGAAGGTAAGCCAGGATATTTCTGTGATGTTACAAACCTTCTCTTTCCCTTTCCCCTCCCTTCCACCTCCCCTGAGTTCTTTAATGCACTATTAATTTAATAAGCTGCCTGATGCTGTGCTCACCTTCAGCCTCGCACTTCCCAGGGAGGACTTCAATCATCATGGGGGAGCACATTCAGATAATTTTGGCAGCTCGTTGCCTCGTACATCTGGTTGGTGCAGGGATGCTTGAAGGTCCTGTGCTGGCTGGGAGAGCTGGCTTGGCAAACTGCTGCTCCTGTCTTCAGCACCCGTGGGTGATGCCAGCACCCTTCAGCCTGGGCTCCTGAGGAAGGCAGCTGATCAAATGGGATCATCTGGGGGTGCCTGGCCTCAGCTCTCAGTCCTGGCTGAATTTGGCAGGGAGGGATGCTGTGTTCATCAGATAAATCAATTAGCAAAGGCTTCTCCTTCCATCCACACTCCCACCCCATTACCATCCCTTTGGGGCAAAGGGGTCCAGGTGCACGTGGGCCTCAGCAGAGACAGGCTCTGAGAGGTTTTGGGAGCTGGGGCCACACTCAGAACTGGGCACTTGTGCCCAGTGAGTGAATTTGGAAATCACAGCCTCTATGATTCTTTTTCTAAGTGGTTCCAGCTTTTCTTGTCCATAACCCTGAATTATCTGATGGGACACACAAGCAAAACCTGCTGTGCTTCCCCTACTGTTTTATGCCCTCCTGCACAGTTAGAAAAAAAAAAAAATTAAATCTATTTTCCTGCCTGGCTGCATTTTGTTACAAATTAAAGAAAGAATAAATGCAAAATCTGACTGAGAAAGAATAGAAGCTCATGGGTTGTGTCTGGGTCCATCTCTAGCTGCACATGTGTGGCAAGCACATTTCTCTCCCTCTCAGGATTTTTCGCAGAGGTGCACAGAGAGAAATGAAAGAAAAAACAATTTCTATTTCTGCTCCTTGCTTTTCCTATGTGGAATGTGTTTGGAGAATTGTTTAGCTGGAATGAGTGCCTGACTGGATTCTGGTGAGGATTGTTTGAGCCTGGTGGCCAATCCAACCTGCCTGGGGCTGGACAGAGAGAGGGTCACGAGTTAAGTGTAAGTTAGAGATCGAATCAGAGAAAGTAGTATGTAGTTTTAGTATCCTCCTTTTATATAGTATATTAATGTATTTTAGCATAATTATAATAAAGAAATAATTCAGCCTTCTGAACTGAGTCAGATATCGTCATTTCTTCCCATTGCAGGGTTTGCCTGCATTTACAATACCCATGGAGGCTGTGAGAGGTGGCCAGAGGTGCTGTGATGTGGGAACAAGGGTGGCTGTGGCTACTGGCCTGGGGCTTGTGGCCACAGGGTCCCTCCCTGAGCAGGCAGTGTGGGACTCCAGTGATCTGAGAGCCAAACCCAGCCAAGGAAAGACACCTTCCACTGATGCAGAGTTTGTGGGACCTTCCCAGGCTTGTCTTCACCCCCAGTAACCCTCTCTGCCGAAGTCACTGCAGGTTCCAGCACAGGGATCTGTGTTCCCTGTGTCTCCCAGCAGAACTGCAGGAGAAAAGTCCCTCCACTGTGCAAACTCCTGCCTCGGTCTGTGGGTCTTCAGGACAGCACCCACCTCGTGCTCTCGGGGGAAAGGAGAGCTCACAACCTTCTTTTTTTCCCTCTAGGAAGGAAAGAAAGACACAAGAAGACTTTGGGGGGCAGGTCAGAGACTCTGGAGCCTGGAAGTGGAGATGGTCCCTGAACAGAGCCTTGCCAGGACTCTCAGCATCCCTCAGGCACACCCAAACCGTGCAGCTGCTGAGGGGGTTCCTGCTCCTCGGGGAGACACAGAGCAGCAAAACTCCAGGACAGACCACTTGTGTCAGTGCTGCAGACTCAAACTGCCTGGTTTTGTTTCCCAGCAGCATTTACCAGGCTGCTGGTGTTTGTTTATGATGGGAGATGCACATGATTTATTTGATCTGCTGGAGAACTTCATTCCCACGCCGAGGCCAGGCAGAGACACTGCATTCTCCCCTCTTTTGGGGTCAAATCCTCTCTTGCACAGGCAGAGCTGCACTCTCAGCTGCTTCAGAACTGGGCATTAAACGCTTGTTAGAGACCTCCCAACTCCAAGCCAAGAGGCTGCATTTGTTCTTGTCTGTCTCTGCATACAGAGCAAGTGTTAATAGAGTGTTCAGGCTCTTAAAACAGGTTTGGGGAAAAGGTCTCAGGGCGCCTGGGCTGTGGTCTGGATCCAGCTTGAATAATCCTAAGGGAGGTTTCATCCTCTCCTCGTGCTTTTCTGGTGGATTGGGTTTGGCGTGTCTCACCTGGCTTGCAGGGACAGTGGTTTAATGAACTGCTTTGCAAAATGACTTTACAAATGGAGAGTCTACTCCTGCCTCTTTTAACACCTGGAATAAAGATCTCTTTATTCCAGCTCATCACCCATCAGACGGGGGCCTGGCTGCCAAAGAAGCCAGCAAAGAAAGCATTAAGGGATGGAAGATGAAACGCAGCACATGAGCTGGGAGATTTACAGCTCTGGGTGGAAAGCACACAGAGCATCATCACCCACCCTGCCAGTGGGGCAGGAGC